CGAATACGGACAATAAATCAGATGTGTAAAGGGCTACGGATCAGGATTCAGGGCTTTGGCAGCTTGGTGATTGGTGGACTAGGGTCCGGCGGCACAGCAAATAGACTTCGACGGCCCGGACGGAGACCGAAGCACGGCGAGGATTTTTGCTACGCCAGGGAAGTAAGATGGGGCATGTTATGTGAGCTATTGTCTTAACTCCTAGCATCCGCTGAATAACCCCTGTAATACTCCCCTATATAATCCACTCTATAACCCCCCCCCTCAAGGAGTTTAGACCCTAAACCCTAAGCCCTAAAACCCTAAACCCCTGAACCCTAAAACCTAAACCCCTGAACCCTAAAACCCTAAACCCTAAAAGCCCTAAACCCCTAAACCCTAAACCCCCATACAACCTCCCCTTGAAGGAGTTTAGACTATAGCTCATGTGAAGCCAGAGCTTGAAGACTTGTGCAAATGAGGTTTGGAGCAGCATGACCCTGCAACGCTGCAACCAAAAACCTTCAAACCTTTGGGAGGTTCCCAAAATTAGGGGTACCTTTTTGGGGTGGTATCCATAATAAGGGCTACAACAACATTTTGGGGACTATACTGGGGTGCCCCTATTTTTGGAGAACTAACATTCTGTAAATTCCTGAGCTCTTCAACTCATCCGTGCAGCCTCCCAGTTCTGGATGCCACTCCCTCAAACGCTAACGGGTTTAGGGTTTGGGTTTAGGGTTAGGGTTAACTTGGAAACCTCAAAGCACTATGAATAAGGAGGGGATACTTGGGATAGGCTTCGTGGGCATACTAAATTCATCCTCCCCCCAAACATTAAACACCCCCCACCTGCCCCCCTTAATATTAAATACTCCCCGTTGTGGTATGTTAGTCTATTCGGAATATTTTGTATTAGGGTGCTGGCGGGGTTTTAATATTCGAGGGGGGCTGTTAACATTAGGGGGGTGGGCTCATACTAGGGGAGAGGATTATAGCTGTGCAAAATAAACTTGACCGACAACGAGATGACCCCTATCTGTGGCGAAATAGCCTCCCTCTTCAGTGAATAGGGCTGGATTAGGGTTTAACGTTTAGGGGTCAAGGTTTAGGGTTTAGGGTTCAGTGTCCAAGGACTGAAATCTCTGACCGTAATGGCAATTGTAAATGAGAGAAGACGAGCAAACTATCAGCGAGGCAACCTTGGTAAAAGTACTGGTATTAGCATTACCTAATCCCTAAAAGTATGTGAAATAATAGCCCTAAACCCAGAATAATAGCCATAAAGGCCACATTTTTTTCATACTTTTAAGGTCCAGGTAGTACTGGCTAACATTAATTCATGGTACTAGTAACAGCAAGAACGGCAAGATTACCAGCAATAGCAACAACCGTAATTCTAACATGAAGCACGCAACCCTTGCCGAAGGACCTGTCCCAGTGCTGGATGGTGGGAACCACCGGCCCTCGTGGTCCTCCAGGTCCTGCAGGACTAAGCGCAAATCCGCCAAGTGGAACTAAGGGATCTTAGCACCCCAACCCTTCAAAAAGAGGACCCTATTCTAATCATATGATACTTGTGGGGTCCTTAATACAGCGGCTGGCGGAACTAAAATCCCCTTCACGAATGGGGGCAGACTAAGACCGCTGAGTCTGCCCCTTGCTGAAGATGCCCTGTTCTTGAAAAGCGCCTTCGACCCGTGGAGGTTTAGGGAATAATGTTTAGGGTTTAGGGTTTAGGGTTTAATGGACCATCAAAAGAAAAAGAACATGGAAATTTCAATGGAAACAGAATATTATCTGTAAGGGGTATAGCAGTAGTGCCCACTATTCCCGAAAGACCTTTCTGGCATTCAGGTCTAGGGTCCTTTGCGACGCCGATAAGCTCTAACCATGAACTTACCACTGTTACTATGGCTACTATGGTTGCAATTGCCATGGCGGAAAACAACAGCATCGCTTGCTTGCATAGGTAGGAATATTACAAAAACCGTGTTATCTGTAACAGGAACTATTGGCTATAACTTGTTAAACATCCCGGGGGCCTACCCAGTGAGTGTTTTCCTGCCTCGCGCAAGCCCTATAGACCCTAATTGGAGAATCAGGAGGGCTTAGTAAGTATGTCAATAACCCCTGTAACCAACATATAAGCCATTGTTATCCCCTACTTAGTCGCCCTGACCCTCCAAGTATATAAGCCCAGGTTTCCATTTGATTCTCCGTTTTTTGGGGTAATATACCTAAGCCTTATGTAACCCTAAACCCCACTGATTAGGGCCTGATCCCTAACACTATGTCCGTATATAAGCTGCATAACCATACTGATTCAACCCTATAATGCATCACTTGCTGATGCTACCCTATACCACCCAAAACCCAAAACCCAAAACCCTAGGCCCTACACCCTGAATCCTAAACACTAAACCACCGGAAACCCTAAACCCCCAAATTCAAAACCCGAAACCCTAACCCCATGCACCTGGATGGGGCGCAAACTGGCGGGCTGAAAAAGGCTGCACCTGAGCTGCAGCTTCAGTTGAAGGTTTAGGGCTTATAGTCCCCCTTAAGTAGGTACAATGTGGATTTGGGTATATAAAAAAAGATCCCCATATACCCCACATTCTATCGACTTAAGGGGGACTACAAGCTTTTTTAGGGTTCATAAGGTTTACAGGCTGCAGATTCTTAAAAGTTTTGAGGGTTTGTAGGATTTATATAGGGGGTTTCAGGATTTATGGGTTTCAGGGTTTATGGGGTGCAGAAGTTTGCAGGATTTAGGGCTGTTGATTTGAGATCTGGGCGGACAGCCCACTAACAAGCTACTGACTTACCCGAGCAGTCGAACGCGGAAGCTTGGACCCAAAAGCACGCGAAGCCCTAAACCGTAAACCCTATATCCTCAAATCCCGAAACCGTAAAAACCCTGAACTGGGTGATTCCGGATACCAGGATAGGCCTGTCTTCGACCTTGCAAGCCCCTAAATCTACCCTTAAGGGTGTAGGGTAGATACAACAAAGCCTGCATGACCGCACTACACAATGGTACCACGATTCCCAAAGTTTACGCTACTTAGGGTCATGCAGGATCTTTAATATCCACCGTAGGGTCCTGCTAGGGAATTGCAGAGCAGCCCAGCCCATGCTGATATCCCCTTTTGGGTTATAAGCCCAGTCGACTCCAGAACTCTTTGGGCCCTTTCTTTGCAACAAATGCATTTTAAGAGAAAAAGCTTTCATATACGTATACGTAATTTATGTATGAGGAACATCTAGTAGGGGGGGAGAGTTTTTTGGGGGGTTGTCATTTCAGCTGCACAAGACATCCCTACTTTAGTGCAAGACTCAATCCATTGAACCCTTCGTGGCGGTTGTTCAAGGTTCCCTGCCCCAAGTGGCCATAAGGTGCCTAGGTTCCTTGTGGCTCGTATCTCTCCTTAACGAGGTGTTTACCAAATTAGCCTTCCGCTGGGAGGTCCTGGGAGATGGGTTGTTCAGGCCCATGCATTCGAAACCCAAGCTTTCAAAGTGGGACCTGCTAATTAGGTGGTTTGAGCGTGTCTGAATAGGCTTGCGCACGCATTCTTTTGAAACCAATGGGAGTTGCTTCCCCGCAGCTCGTTGCAAACTGCCGCTGGTGGGCTTCGTCTTTTAGGGGCCGTCGGTGAAGACACAGACCATGCCTCACCTCGAGCCACCTACTGAAAGTTACGCCTAATCCTGAGAAGCAGAATGGCGATTCGGATCAGCCGAGGCTAATGGTAAGATGACAGTGCCCTCGCTCCAACAGTCTTGCCAGACCACCCAGACACATTGCTAAAGGTCATGAGCACCCTAGGGCTCCAAGCATACAAATAACACTTACGCTGGGCCCCTATAATGTCCAGATATGATATCTACTTTGCGCTATATGCTCTGAGTCAGTATTTCCTACATAATTTAACGGACATGGGTTACTTATGCGGGACAAAAATGGGACTGCACTAAACTACAAGAGGGGCCCCTATATCCGCCAATGTCCGCTGTCAAGCGGCCCTTGATAAGCCGAACAGTGACAGTAGCTCAAGATTCAGATGAGCCCGGGACTAAATGTGTAGCATATAACTTAGCAAGTCACCCCCCAAAGCCCCATATGGTCCCCTATAGGTCCCCCCAACCCTAAACCCTAAACCCTAAATCCCTAAAAGCGAGGCCAGACCCTTTTTTTGTGAGGCGCTTGGCGCTTAGGTTTGCGACGCCGCGGCTACTTTGAGCTGCTCCGGAAGATCAGGCGCCAACTTCAGGGACCATGCAACTGCATTGCATGAGGCTTTCTTATTCAATTGGGGAAAAATATTTGGGGAAAAATATTTTTCCCCAAATATTTTTCCCCAATTGTTTAGTACTTGAGGCTTTCTTATTCTTACTGTTCTTGTTCCTTTTAGATTTTCCTTGCTCTTCTTCCTCCTCCTCTTCGAAGCATTACATGCAACGGTTTAATGTCTAAGGTGCGGCGTTTATACGTAGCGTTTAAAGTTGCAAACGATGGTAATGATTTCTAAATTTGTGAGGCCTAAGGGTTGCGGGCCTGTGTGCAATGTAGGGTTTCTAGGTTTTGCAGGAACCCCATAATAATAACGATGCCCTTTTGCCTAAGTTTCAGCTTTAATTAGGAGACCCCAAAGTAAAAAGGGGAAAAGATTCTACTGGGGTACCAAGGTTTAGGGTTAAGGGTAGGGCGCATGAGTGCTTCCAGGCTTGTATAGGGTTTAGAGTGACTTCGTTACAGGACCAGATGTTGGGAGTGTGCACAACCCCCATTCTACTGCACCCTTTCCACCCAGCTCACAGAAGGTTGCCCTTACGATGGTTGATACTAGAAATATTATGTACATGATTCTGGTTTTGTACAGTACAATATTCCCTGAGGCACAAGGTTCTCAGGGCCAAGCAGGATTTGTAACATCATCATCAACAGTGCCATGGAGATACTGAGTTTGCAAGCATGTTAGGCCTGGACAGCGCGCAGCGCAGCTAAATGTCACCTAGGGCTGAGTGACCAAGAAGTTCGCATCCACTGCAGGCACCCTTATCTCGTGCTTGCGTCAAAAAGTTGTAGCATGGGCAAAACATGTTACCCATGGAACAGAAAAACTGGATACTATGCAACAATAAACAGTCTGTATACTTCGAGCCAGAGGTGCTGTGCCGGAGCCCTTAAAGCAACTCCCAAACCTCCAAATATGCTCAAACCTGCTTAGAGCAAAGTGTTGCCATCGCAAAGCTCAGGAACCACTTGCCGAAAAAGCTGCAGCACCTCTTCCATAACACCTGTTGATTCATGTAGAGATTGTGTAGCGCTTGAGGCAGGCGATGTTGTTGGAATTGCGGCTGGGTTAGAGGTTAGGGGTCGTTTTTTTTGGAAAGGGGCTTTTAGGGTCTACCTGCAAACGAACCAAACCATCACGGCCAAAGACAGCTAAAAGGCAGATCCCTCAGCCTTAACTAATCTCTCTGTATGATACCCTAAACCCGAAACCGATGGGCGTCTTTCCAAGATCATTGGAGCTGTCATGGTCAGCATTTGAACTACACTTCGCAGCCCCGCTTGGAAGGTTCAAAGGGGTTTAGGATCTAGGGTTTAAGTTTTCGGGTTCAGGGTTCAGGGATATATAAGGGATGTGGGCTTAAGGTTTAGAATCCTGATTCACAAGCCAAGAACCCATCAAGAACCCATCTGCACGGGACCCCTGCCGCATGCCAATCCCAAAAGAGGTACTCCCTACCCGGACCCCTGATCAGAGTTTAGAGCCCAAAGCTCAAACTCATAGTTTAGGGTTTAGGGTTCCAGAATTCGTTATCCATGATCCACCCAGACAATCAATCAATCCTTGCGGTCATTCCTTGAAATCGAGTGGTATCTTTTTTTCGTAGACTGGCAAGGCCAAAGCGTTCTGAGCCGAAAGCCCTAGCACCCTAGCCTGAAGCTCAAAACCCTCTGAACCCCAGATCCCCTAAAACCTAAATCCTAAAACCCCTGAAGTCCTCAAAAAAAGCCGAAATCCAAAACTCCCCTCACCCAACCCCCCCAAAAAAAACTCCCTGCAGTCAGGCTGTCCTTCAATTCAGCGCGTTTTTCGGTGGTTGAGCCCAGTAAGGTAATCTTCCTATTATACCTCAAACGGAGGATATAATCTTACTCTATATTTGGTACCGTAGCATCCCAAAACAAAATACTACTCAGCTTGCTTAGCGCTACTTAAAGCCAACCAACGGAAACTTCTGGGGGGATAGCACAGAGGATGCAAATAGACCTGCAGAACCCTCAGAACCTGATACCTTGGGAAAACTAGTTGTATTACAGTAGACTAAAGTCATGCGGGATGTTCAGTATCAACAGCAGTGGAACCCATGATGCAACAGCGGACTCCCTTGACACTGGGATATCGCGCCTCCCTTCCAGCGCCAAAGCCCAACTCCAGTACATCTCTTTTCCTGTTACTGGTCAGTGCTTTGACGGTCTTGCTTTAGGGTGTGCACCATTGGACTTATGGGGACCCCTGTCGTCTTGGGAGCCTTATAGAAATTTACAGCTTAAGTTCATGGTCTCTCTATCCTACACCCATAACAAAATCAACCTGAACGTGAAACTTGAAACGCTTCGAAGTCAAACGGTGCAAGACTAAGACTGTTGACGCTTGGGGCTTCGGAAAAGGCTGTAGAAATGAGCAGAAAAGCCGTTCCAGCTGCCTCCCAGAGTGCTGCCGCCTTGGAAGCTTTGCTGCTACTCGCCCCACGAAAGCTGTGTCGGGCTGATGTCGATTCAGCCTATCAAACTTGCTTGCCCCAGATGGCACCAGCTGTGTGTCCTGGATCAAAAAATGCTCGCCACTTTACTCTAGTCCCCTTACACCTATCATATGCTCTAGTCCACTTGGACCTATAATAACACCACATCAACATCATTTTTGATTATTCCTAGTTCGGGTTATACTACAATAATGAGAAAACGAAAAATAATCTCTACGGAGACTAGACCTATAATCGCAACAGATTTTCAAATAGTTCTCTAGGGCTATTCTTGAGCAAAAACAAGAAAAAACCCTGAAGATACCATACTTCGAGGCCCTTGACCCTAAGCCCTGAGCCCTTCTTCGGACTTGGTCCTTGCACGAGCTCTGAGAGGCACCCCTCAACCCTAAAGTAACTACGGTGGACACTTAGAAGCCTTTATGACCCTCAGTACCTGGGTTAAGGGTTACGGGGTAATTAAAATCCTGCATGACCCTTAAGTACCTTATACTGTGGGACTTCTTGTATTAGAGTATAAGTTCACGCAGGATTTCTTGGTTTTTAATATCAACAGCAGCATAAGCCTGAACCCAGTTGCCGTGTTATTGCCATTCATTGAACGGCTGCGGTCAGCGTTCGCTGCGTCCAACGTGCGCGGTTTGTCCACCATTCCAGGTCCCCGCAGCATCAACGGCAAAGTTAGCACGGCCTTGCTGGTTAAATTTACTTCCTGGTTGCTCGGAGGGATTGAAGCAAAACACAACAAGATTAAACCTAAACACATGGGATGATAAAGGGGCTACGATTGTGCACTCCTTCGTCATTCCCATGGAAAAATCAAATTTGAGACCAAGAGCTTCCTACACGTCTGTCTGACAAAACTTTTTGTATTGGCTTTGGAATTGGAGATGGGGCTCTCATTGCCAACTGCGTCGAAGAGCGCATGGAGTACGCTAAGCATGGATCAGCCTATGCACTCCAAAATCCTTCATGGGACTCCTAGTCGAAAGCTTGCGCCAGCACAATAATACAAGATAACTATGTAGGGTGTGCTGAAATAGATGGGAGCTTTGCTCACACCCTAAACCCTGAAGCCCTAAACCCTATAAACGCTAAACCCTGAAGCCCTACACCCTAAACTTCAAACCTTAAACCCTAAACCCTTAAACCCTCGAACCCTTGAACCTTTAAACCCTTAAACCTTCGGTACTGCCACCACCCACTAACAGACACCACAAATCAAGTCAAAAAAAAAATGCATGGCTTTAAAGCAAATGGAAAATGAGGCATTCATCATCTGGAAAAACGGCATAGGAGCACTCTCAGGATTCAATCTTTGCCGGTTCTAGGCCGTTCCTTTTACCTTCCAAGTGCTTTTCCATCTGCTGCTTGACTCTTCACCCAAACGGCATGGAAGTTAAGAACCCGGCTCTTTTGCTACTCAAAACCAAAGCTAGGCAGCTCGGCCTGGGCATATCTAATGGGGGATTGGGGTTTAGGGTTTAGGGTTTAGGGTTTAGGGTTTAGGGTTTAGGGTTCAGGGTTTAGGGTTTAGGGTTTAGGGACTCAGAGGGATCTGCAAAGCAGCCTAGCCTGCGGCTGTAGGGCTTAGGCCAGGCTGGGGGCCTGGGGCAGCTTGGGGCTCAGGGCAGCCCGTAACGCCGCCAAGCTTTTTCTAGGCCCGGCCGTTTTTCAAAATCTGGAACCATTAGATTACAGTTGTGCTGTTTTTTTTTGTGCTGGTGTTTCTGAGTTTGTGCTTTTTCTGGTGCTCATCCAGTTGTGTTTTTTGTGTGGTTTGGTTTTTGCTGGGTGATTGGAAGTTTGTGGTCTGATTTGTGCTTCCAATTTGTGCTTTTTATGAATGGCAAAGCACAACCGGAGCACAAACTACTTTTGGATGTCCAGTTTGTGGTCTGGTTTGTGGTGGGTGATTGGCAGTTTGTGCTCTGATTTGTGCTTCCGGTTTTGTTGTCAGTTTCTCGAAGGAGTTGTGTGGTTTGTTGTACTAGGTGTTCCTTAGTTTGTGGCTTGTTTCGTGCTCTAGGATTTGTGCTTCTAGTTTTGCAGTTTGGGCTGCAAAGCTGCTGGCCTTGAGGAGTTTTTACTTTTCAGTTGTGCTCCCAGTTGTGTTTTTTGTTGGCCTTTCTGCTCTGCTTTTTCTGTGCTTCCACTTCTTCATTTTCTGTATTCCAGGGGGAAGGAGAGGGAGAGGGTGAGAGTGAAAGAGGACACAGGAGTAGACAGAAGGAGAAGGGGAGAGGGAGAGGGTGAGAGAGGGAGAGAGCAGAGAAGAGAGATAGGAGAGATAGGGGGAGGGAGAGAGACAGAGAGAGGGCAAGTGCATGGAAGGGATAAAGAAGGCAGGGAGAGGGAGGTGGTAAAGGGCTTGACAATGGATTTCACAGTTTAGAGACGGTCGGGTTGGATCTGACCAGCTGAAACACCTACACTCCCGGAAACTAACATGGAAACCCCAAAAGAGCCCTATAAAGACTACAGTCCTTCTAAAAAGGGCTACATGGGTTTCCATGTTAGTTTGGGGGAGTGTAGTTTGGAGAGATGGGCAGGGTGGATTTGAGCAACCTCAGCACCTTCCCAGGTCTTGTGCTTTTTATGGGGTTCGTGTGTTAAGAAAATCCCCATTAGGCGACTGTAAGTTGGTGGGGGCAGTACTGAACCTAAATCCCTAAACCGCTACACCTTAAACCCTAAACCCTAAACCTTTGAACCCTAAACCCTAAACCCTAACTCAAGGGTCTAGAGCAGAGCCTGAGCCTTTGACCGGCGGTTAAGGTTTAGGGTTTAGGGTATCTTGAACCCAAGGCTCCATTCGAACCAGCCGCCGCAGCCCCTGCAAACGGGAGAGAGCCATCGTCACGTCTTCACTGCTGCGGGCAGGGTTTAGGTCAATCTCTGAACTATTTTTGCTGGACCTCCCGGGCTTCCAAATATCCAGGAAATGGTTTTAACCCAACAAAACGGATTGAAATGGGTAGTGGGAATGTCTAGGTTCAACAGCATCTTAATAGCTTCGAGCCCACAAGGGCATGGAAGAAGAGCCAATGGGTTTGGGATGAGGAGTTGGGGGTGCCCAAAGGGACTTGAACTGAAACAATGCGACCTGAACTAAAGGAGTTGTGAGCTGTGACAAGGTTTGCACAGACAGTCTCCAGGTCTACCGGGAGGCTGCAAGTTCAACGGCAAACCGTAAACCTAAAGTCCTAAGTTATTAGGGTTAAGGGTTTAAAGTATAGGGGCCCTATAAAAAAAATGTTTCGGCGTTTAGCAGGGATCAATAGCGATTTAGGGCACTAGGAATTAAAACCTAAACCCCAACTCTTTTTCAAGTAGAGGTTTCTCCACATTGCTAATAGTCAGTATTGCGGGTCTATACTTGGGTTTGGGGCGTAGGATCCCTACTAGAGCCACCCATACTTGGAGGTCCATTGTACTTATAACCTACGTAGTAATCCTAAATACAAGTCCCATAACTACAGTTCCCCTTTATATAATTGGGTTATAACTTCATTCACTAAGTAGGTTATAAGTAGAATGGACCTCCAAATAAAGCCTTGAACTCTGACATCTGAACCGCCCTTGATAGTTGTTCAAGATACAACCAAACCTCAAACTTCATACGTTTCCTCCAGCCTTGAATACGTAGGTTTCGGATTGAAGGTTTAGGGTTTAAGGGTTGGGTTGGTGGTTTCTTTGAGATACCTGTCCCCAAAATGGCCAAAAGGTAGGTTCCCTTTTTGGCTTTGAGGAACTGTATACCCAAGGGTCCCTTCTTGACAAGAACCTTTAGAACAGCCCCCGGGTTTAGGGCTTAGGGCCGGCAAATAAATCGGGCCATTTACCTGCTCGTCTCCCAGGACGCTGGGCTTGGGTAGTGCGATGCAATGCACAGGCTGATTTGCGATCTCAAGCCCTTAGCCCTAAAAAAACTAAAGCCCTAAGCCCTGACCCTTGAAACCCTAAAACCCAAAGCCCTAAACCCTCAAACAGGTACCCATAATCTTGGGAAACCCCCACATACATCTGCACATAGATTGAAGATTACGCCGTGGCTGCCAAGTAGCTCCAGTCCTAAAATTCACGCGGTGTAGGATTTGGGGCTTAGGGTCTAGTATGGGCCAGTAGTATGGGCCCTTAATCTTGGAGTTTTCCCCATTCTCTAACCTATTAAGGGACCAGTAGGAGTCCATGCTCAGAACCTCCGGCTAAATCTTGAGCCCAAAACCCTTTTATGAGCTACAGTCAATACTTCCTACATATAGTTTAATATGGCATATACGGTTTCTAGGGTTCAGGGCCTACATACTGTTATGCACATGGGCTCCTAAATTTTGAGCCCAAAACACTTCCTTCCCTCTGAAGGTACCTAGACTCCATATCAGGAGCCCATGGCCTGGACGGTAGGCAAAGGCAGAACCCTAAACCCAAGACCCTAATCCCTAATCCCTAAAGCCTAACCCCTAATCCCGAAACCCTGGTCCCTAAACCCTAATCCCTAAAGCCTAATCCCTAAAGCCTAATCCCTAAGATCCCGAATCCCTAAACCCTAAAGCCTGATCCCTAAACTCGAATCCCCAAACCGTGAACCCTAAAGCCCAAATCCTAAATGCTGGGAACCCGACGCTGCTTATGTCGCTCCTGGGAGTAGACTGAAGGCCACCTCATGTCAGGGATTTTGGTTTAGGGTGTAAGGTTCAGGGCTTAGGGTTTAAGGTTTACAGTTTAGTGTTTAGGGTTTAGGGTTAAGGGTTTCGGTAGGGTTGATTCAGATAGGTTATAGAGGGGTGATGTGGGAGCAAATGTACTTTATGTAGGGGTATGTAGGGATGAAGATGTTTAGGGAGCCATCAAATAATAAGGGGCCCCAAAACTTATCAATATAATGTTTGACATCTTTTTGACACGTACTCTACCATCATCATACAAGGAATCGGGGACCACAATGATGGTAACTATTGAAACACGCGAAACCCTAACCCGTGCGGTCCTGTTGCTACGAAAAATCCTGCATGATTTTAGCATACTAGAATACCAAAATGTCCAGGTTTTGGGGTACTTTAGGGTCATGCACGATTTTGGGTATCCACCGTACCTAGGTGCTTCCAGCATCTCATGGGCTCATCACAGGATGATGGGACTCCGCGAACTCATGGATTCGCCCATTTGCCCCAATTTACCCCCCAGGGGAAGGGTTTAGGGTCTAGGATCTGGGGTTTAGGGGTTTAGGGTTTTGGGTTTTAGGGTGGGAGGGTTTCTGTTACACAGGTCTCGGTGTAGCATGAGACTCCTATGCTGTTTCCGTGAAACAATTCAAGGTTTTTGGCCATGGATATGACGTTTAATGCGGAGAACTCTACCAGAGGGCCTGGGTTCTTTGCTTCACCAATCCGCAAGGATCCAAAAAGGGCTAAGGCCATGAGGAGCAGGAGTTGGTACATATACATACGCCTGGGGCCTCTAAGATGTCTACGAGAAGGTCTCAGAACTGTTGTTACTCCATTCAGCACATACCTTGCCTGAAGGGTGATGGCCTGGGTAAATTGTGTCAAGAAGTGAGGGTTTTTAGCAGGGGAGCCTACCAAGTGCAATCTCGTAGCGAGATTGTCGTTCTGGAGCTTTACACAGAGGGGGACAACTGCTGACGTAGACAGGACAAGTCTCAGGGAACGGCCGAAACTGAAGAGGGGC